GATCGGCGTCCTCAGCAAACAGTGTAAAATCGTGTCTGCCACAGTTACAACTACACTACTTTTTTTATCTATTACGTCACACATAAAAATCTGAATGAGTCCTTTCATACTAGTAGGAGATTGAAAACCATCCACAGACTTATATGTTTGGGTAATTAATAGATAAATAGGTAAATTTATATAGTCGTATTTCTTTACCATCACCATTTTCTTGCATATAGAAACACGCACACAGATATATGCACAAACACACATATATATAATTCGGTTATAATTTATTTCATGAATATACAAAAATATTCATCTCTCCACGTCGAATTTTTTAAATAAATGGAATCAATTTATCCAGACGCAAAAAGAAAAGGAAAATTTTTCAAGAGGAGATGAATATTTCTATATTCATGAAATAAATTATAACCAAATGGATTTTTAAGGATTGTTTGTACTATTTATTATTATATTCCACCTTTTAATTATTCCTACTAATTACCAATTGATATTATTCATATATATATATATATATAATATTATTCATATGTGTATATATATATATATATATATATATATATATATATAATGAATATCTACATATATATGTATATATATATATATATATATTTATATATTTATATATATATATATATATATAATACAGAATCTAAATATATATAATACTGAATATAGTATATATATATATATATATCTATATATATATAATATTTCTTGAAGATTATTAGGATATATATATGTTTGTATAATATTCATGTATATAAATATATATATATATATATATGTATATATATGTGTGTATATATATATATACTTGTTATTTTTAAATATATTATTTTATATATATATATATATATATACATATATATATGTGTGTGTGTGTGTGTGTATATATATATATATATATATATATATATGTATGTATGTATGTATGTATAATTAACGGCAATTTTCAAATTATGCGATAAACTCACGCGTGACCACTGGTGTGTATGAGAAGACGCGTATCTAATCGCAAAAGCAATTCCATTGTTCACTTAACTCGCAGGATGCAATGACGTCAGACGTATAAGACGCGCTCCACTCAGTGATAACCTTATCGGTGCGCACTGTAGTCCATACCTTTTGTGGGCAGAGCGAGTCAGACCTTCGAAAGTCCATCGCTGGATGTTGACGCTGTATGGAGCAGTCACCATAAATCAACGAAAGGTTTTATGAGTTTTTCGAATAATTCAAATCGGACAGAACACTGTCGGGCATCAGCTTTGGATCTGCACAGGTCATAGGGCGTGATAATTTGGGGTACTGTAAGTTTTGTGCACGTTGGCTGCCCAAATAGCTTACAGGTTTGCATAAGCAGCAGTGCGTAGATGTTGCGAATCGGTTCCCCAATCACTAAGACGAAGATCCCAGTATCTTCGACCGATTGCCACATCTTCGACTCCTTCAAGGAGATCGCAGCTTCAGCTCGGATGGTGAGGCTCTGTAGGCGTGGCTTCGTGAGTAACTGAAAAAGTTATTTCCGGAAGAAATAGAGTATCTCATTGAATGATACTAGAAGTAAATCCCCATACAGGGGTGGGGAATCATGTTTGCTTGTTTATAATATCACCCTTTGTAATGATTGCTTTTACCTGGGGTATTTAGAGACAAAATACAGGTGCCGGGGGCTTGTAAGCCCCTCTCTCTACAATATTGCATTCATACATACGTACGTAAGACGTAATTAATTTACATTGGAAGTAATAAGTATTAGAATTAAAGTACATGTGAATAGATATATTAATATTTACAAATGTATTTACTTTTTCAAGAGGATAGATTATTAGATTGCATCCGTATCAGTCTTTGAAAACCACATTCAAAATCTTGATTTTTATCTCTAAATCGCGCACTGATAAGATGTAGAAAGAATATTACTTCCCTAAGTTATCCTACCAAATATATTGCTGAGGGGTTCTTACAACGGGCTTCCTACCAAATATATTGCTTAGGGCCATTTACACCAGGCTTCTTAACAATTTTATTGCGTAAATGTTGAAAAATTATTTACCCAGGGCATCGCAGCACTATCTCAAAAGAAAAAAAAAACGAAATTTTGTCGTTTGATTTTTAATCTTTTTATTTCGAATAAGATTTGCTATTATGAGTTAAATGTTTCCAGTTCATGGAATTTCAGGATTTTCTTGGATGAAGAATTGCCGGTAGCATTCAAACTCAGCAGGAATTAAATAAATTATTTAATCAAAAATATGTAGGAGGGGTACCGAAAATTATTTGGCGCGACCTAAAATCAGAATTACTGGTGTTTCCTCTCTTGCCAGATTTTTTAAAAGTGGATCGGGCCGACGGCTTTTCAGTACCCACCGAAGATATGCATGTACATTTTCAAAAAAATACTCACATTTAAGATATAAAATGTTTCAAAGATCGACCTTTATGCTAGTAATATATATATATATATATATATATATATATATATATATATATATATATATATATATATATATATGTAGGTGTTTTACTGATATGCGAATCTAATTACAAGAAAGTGTAATTTACTAAAACGAAAATGTATAGAAAGTGCTTTAATTGCTAGAAAAGCCACAGTAAATTTGTGCTATACAACCTTTTACCTTTTTGGCAGGATTTCTATTATCACATTGTGGGATACTAAATAGTAAATGTGATAAAAACATAAACAAATAGAAACTAAACAAAATCGGCTAGACTATAGACCCAAAATCATAATAAAAAACAAATGAATTAAAAATTTTAAATTTCAGCGTATCCCGTGATGCGCATGCGTAGTCAGATCAAATATTAATTTGTCCGCTGAACTGTTCAAGGACAAAACGTGCCAAACGTAAAATAGGATAAAACCTGGAATAATTATAGATATTTTATCAAAGAACCCTAAGAGGGTGAAGATTCGAATATCTCTCTCTGAATATAATAAATGCATTTAAATTCTTTTAAAATCCTTTATCCTAATAGAAATGTACAAAATCCACAAAAAGAAGAAAGAAAAATAAAGTAAAAGCGACAACAAAACTAAGTATATTATTTTAGCGAGAAAAACTACTATTAAACTTGAAAGAAATTTAAGTAATCTCATTAAGGAAAATATGATAAGCACTTCAAAAAAACGATCACAAATTAATCTTACGCCAGAAGTCAGAATTTGCTATAACAAAAAAAAGGGGGGGGTAAAAATAACCAAAAAATGCATCAATAAAATTTTCCAAGATTTAAAGAAAAGAATAAAGGAATATAAAACTGTGATAAAATTAAAGAATACATCCAATGTACTTTTGACCGACTAAAATCTTTAGCTGGTTAGTTTCAAAATAATTTTAAGCTCATGCCCCAGGTGAGCGGAGACACCCAGCCAGTAGGTGGATGGGATCATTACCAAAAGGGAAGTACCAAAAGCAATTTTCCTACGGTATTGCCATTCAACCCACTTTAAACTTCAAAATTGTGAGGTGGAGGGTGCTGAAAAATCATTAATAACCCGGATTAATAACCCGGATGAAGCCCTTTTAATGAAAATTTAACATAATCTACTCAGACGAAGACAGAATATATTTTTTCAAATGAGTTAAATTGTGATTTCTACAGTGATCCATGATACCTGATTGAACCCAAGATATGTATTGGGTTTCATCACTTTGAATCAGTATCAATCAGATAATCCATGAAGAGGAAACACCTCCCCATTCCTGCTACAAAGAAAGTCGGGGCCGTTTCATCTGCAGGGAAGGTGGAGGCCTCAGTCTTTTGCATGCAGAAGGCACTTTGCTTAGTGACTATCTTCAAAATTGCCACACCATCAATAGAGAGTAGTATGCCAACATTCTGTGGGTAGTTTCGAAAGGTTATCACGATCAAACGGATCTTACTTATTTAGTAAAATAAGCGGATCTTACTTTATTAGTAAAATACTCCAGAATACTAAGTCCTTGGTTTCAATGACTTTTGTCCATAACTGTGGTTTTGAACTTGTTGATCACCCTCCTTAAGACTTGGTAAGGAACTGGTGTCGCAGTGATGGGGAAGTCATATATAATGTTATTGACTTTCAAAGATATCTGGAAAGAAACAATGCATTTATTAAAAAGATGAGTTTAAATTAATGCATGCAAGATTACTCCTTCATAATCAACTTATGAACTTTTTCAGCTCAGCTTCGTGTACATATCGTATATATATATATATATATATATATATATATATATATATATATATATATATATATATATATATATATATACCGGGTGTAACAAACATTGTCTAAATCGTGCAACAGCATGGAATAATTGTCCATGCCAAAAAATATTTAATATCTAAAAAACAACTAAACCAATTGAGTATCATTTTTCCAGGTTTTCCATTTGTCATAAGAATCACTGAAAAACCCTTTGAATTATTCAGTTAGAAATAGAATGGTACCAAAATTTATGTTCTGGCTTCCATCTTCAAAGTCCATTCAAGAACCATCAAGAGAATGGGTAATAAGTTTAAAAAAAGAGGGAACAGTACTGAGGAAAACTGGAACATAACAAGGACAGGGAACATCATTTTAACTTAGAGCTAAATACATTCTTATTGTTCAAAGTAGAGATCAATAGTGTTATAAAAACCTCGAGAATTCCAGTAAGATATCTTTAATCATTTCTAAGATATAATGGTTCAAAGCTTAATCTAACAATTAGACAATTTTACTGTTACACTCGGTATATATATATATATATATATATATATATATATATATATATATATATATATATATATATATATATATATATATATATATATATTTAACTGCTCATATTTTGCTGTTGTGTTTTGTCTAGGGAATCCTTGGTTCCGGGTTCGCGTTGAAAGTGCAGCAACAGCAGAGACAGAAACATCTAAATCGGCGACGTGTGCCCGCAGCCATGTTGATTCAGTGTGTGTGGCGAAGCTATGCAGCCGATGAAAACTCAATGTCAATTGCTACGTGGAAGCGTCACATGACACCATGTCCAAGCCCCAGCACGTAAGTACGACATGCACACACCTACCCACGACACATCTCCTGACACACTCCTCTAAGTTGCCTCCTGCCGATAATCTCTTTAATGATTGGTTTTGAGACTCTCCTTGGTTCTCAAATCGATCTTAATCCCAGATTAATTGGAATTTGCTAATTTACTCGGAATCTGGCGCTTATTTCTGGTTCCGATTACCCAAATCTACCAGCGATCAGTTTTCAACCCAAATAAAAATCAAAATTTCAGCCACTGGCATTCAAATCAGATTCTCTAGTTGTAAGATTAACTCAGTAAAATCTTCTGAGCCACATTTCCTACACTAAGCTGAGTAAATACCTCAATAACTAGCCAGAAATATTTTGTAAGGTGTTCTCCAGTGTTGCGACTCATTGTCATTGATTCTTCAAGTATTGTGGCTTTGTGCTATAGTAAGCTAATGTAGACAGATATCATATTTCATCCGTGTCCTGGGTAAGACGATAAACTACATTCGGCAGCAAGACCTCTAATCAGGAGATTTTGAGGAGCGTCGAACCACCTCTTAATTGCTGATATTCCCAGGCCCACCCTGACAAGTGGTGTTAGCAATTGTTAGTCTCACAGCAAATAGTTATCCTACCCCCCCCCAAACTGGAGTCAAAACGTGTAAAAATAGATTTTAATACCAGCTAAACATTTTTGTAAAAAATTATTATCAGCAATACATTACTTTTTGGGCAAAAATATTACCAGCAATACTTTTGAGGTAAAATTATTACCAGCAATACATTATTACCAGCAATACATTATTACCAGCAATACTTTTGGGGTAAAATTATTACCAGCAATACATTTTTGGAAAAAATATTACCAAAAATACTTTTTGAAAAAATGTTACCAGAAATTAAAATTTTGTCGGCAGTAAATAACCCATTAAGTTTGATATGCCGTAAAACAAAACAAACCAAACTATATTTCTACAAGTGATGATGACTGCATAGATGTATTTTCAAATAAGCGGTGACAAATGTTGATGAAATGAATTCAATCCTTACTGGATTTTTCCTATTAAATGTCGGATATGAGTGCCTATCGTAAAGCAATGGTAATCAATCCCATTATTTAAGACTGTTTCAAGAGTTTTATCCTAACGATTATCCAAATGTGGTTTGAAATATAATCCCCTTAGCGTCTTATAAAATTGAACAAGTTACATTTGTTTCATAATTCTGATAAATGGCTGCCACCCGCTTATATTAATTTCTTGTCTGCCACTCATGACCTTGTCTAGGATTATGTTTCAAGCCACATTTTACCATGATCAAAATTTACACTTTTTTAGCGTAGGTCTGACACCTAATTGCTTAATCAGGGTAAAACCGCAAGGCTCATTTTGATTTTGTTTTGTTGTTGTCTGCTTTTTTAAATTTAAAAATAATTTTTTATTCGCCAGTTATTTGCTATCACCTGAGGAGGCACATTTTTGTGCTGAAACATGAAAGCTATTGTGTAGCGAATTTTGACGTTTTTGTTTTAATCTCATATAATAAATAATATCAAGCTCTACTCTGTATTGAACCCTTTTTTAAAAAGTAAATACTACAGACAGTGAAATTATGCTCCATTTGTTCTTAACCCATAGCTATATATAAACCTTATTTTAGTGGATACCTATGTCTGAATAGACGCCCTTTTTTAAACAGTGTGATTTATGCCTACCAGCCTGCTCATTTAAGAGAATTAATAAAGCTGCAGTGCTGTCCGTCAGGTTTCGAACCTGTGTTCCTATTTGTAGGGGAATCTGCTGTCTAGTTTCAATTTTTAAGTAACGTAATCAGAATTTGTTTTCGTGTCTGCATTTTGATGTCAGTTTTGATCATTTATTAAGTAGTTTGTGTGATTTAATTATAACTATTTTCTTCTCCAGACAAAGTTTACAGTTTTGGAACTTATTGTTGTAAATAAATCCCGAAATTGTAAAATAATCTCAAAATGAAGACACGAAAACAAATTTTTACTACGTTACATAAAAATCGAGAACTAGAAACTAGTTTAGGATAAACAAAAATAAATAAATAAACAAAAATAAGTAAAAAAAAATTAATTCAAACAAATAAATAAGTAAATAAATTAACTAAATAATAAACAAATTAACAAACTACAACGCACACACAAACACAAGTAAAAATAATAATAACAAATAAAAGAATTTAACAAACAACACTATAAATAGCCAAAAACTGCATTTGGATCCACAATTATTTCCATCTAATAATCCATAGAATAATTCGAAACATAACCGTAACCTCCCACCTAAATAACGGTTAGAACAATAGAAAAGACTACCCACAATGCATCACTGACCTATATATATATATAAATAGTCGAGCAAAAAACATAACACATATGGCCTGATGATTGCGTATAAGCATGAAACAGATTGTTGCAGCTGCGTGTTGATTTCAATGTCTACTTTAATATTTATATACGCTCTATCACTGACATTGAACACTTTAACCATAGATATAGCATACCTTAAAATGATGTTTTATCATATATATATAGAGAGAGAGAGAGAGAGTGAGAGAAAGAGAGAGGAAGGGAGGGAGAGAGAGACAAGAGAGGGGACAGACAGACGAGCAGGCAGGCAGAGATAGAGTGAGTGAGAGAGTAAAATGTTCGGGATATATTTATGAGGAAAGTGTGTGTTTCATTTTATAAAAAATATTAAGAATAATCTTGTTTCGAGATGTCAGCTTTTCTTGCGAAAACGAAGCGACAAGATTTTGAAAATTTCGAAAACCGCTTGGGCAACTACGATGTAAATTAAAAACACATCAAAGTTGACTTTACTATGCAATGCTTGAATAGACACTCTCCCGAATATTTACTCACTCGGAAACAAGATCCTACTGAGTTTTTGTATTATCTGGTCGCTCTATTCACACAGAATATTTAATAGGTTTTGCTTGAAACGTGGGCGTTCTTCCGCTGAAATTATTCGTATATTCAAGAAGGCTTTCGGGGTTGATGTAAGATGGCTAGATAAGATTTTTTTATAAGTGGAGGTTTCAAAATTAAAATGGATTCATGTTGAAAGGGATCCACGTTGTGGAAGTCATTCAACAAACAAAACATCCGAAAAGGATTTTACAATGTGAGTATGAGAAAAATATCTGGACATTTCGCGGAAAGTATCAATCCAGTTTTCTACGACCCTCAGCTAACATGCCAGATGCGTAAAAGCGCGGCCAAGTCTATCAGTTTAGCTTTTACTTCTGTTGTGGATTCCGGGTTGAAATCCGGTACCAATAAATAACAAACGCCAGGAATGAATATATGAAAATAATGTATTAACGTAATAATACAAACTGGTAATGCAGGTTAGTAGTTCCAGGAATACGGGTTAGTAGCCAAATATCTATACAGTCTTTGGTAATGAAGTATCGCTGTATGACGTCTTACTGAGTCTACGTGCTCGCTCACTGTGACTCCTACAACGCTGTTACCTCACCCTCACTCTTCTTGTTACCTACAACCTGTCACTCTGGACTCGACTCGACTCTTCGTCTTGCTCTCTCGGGTCTTCACGTAGCCGTAGTATATGTATATACTGGGTGAGTCCATTTGTGTAAAAAGGGGAGAACCCCTCAACAACTTCCGAAGACTTCTAACTTTTCTGAAATCTAAAACGAAAAAGATTAAGAAAAACACGCCCAGACTAATAGCAACCCGGAAAGAGAATTTTGAAAAGACTATTTTGAAAAATGAATAAAGCTCTGAGTAAATGTGTGGGGAGCTATTTTTATTGAGACTAAGACACAATTGCTTGATGTCGGCTAATTTTCTAGTAGCAGACCGGATCATTCATATACGCATCTATGGATGCATTTTTTCTGGATTTACAGGCTGTTTCAGCATAATTGTCCATCCCACAAAATGTTTTTTTATCTAAAAAGCACTAAACTAATTGAGTTTCTTTTTTCCAGGTTTTCAGATAAGACGTTTAGCCATCTTGATTTGTTTTGAGAATCACTGAAAAACAAAAAGTTATTCAGCTAGAAAGAGAACAGGTTAAACTCATTTTGTGTCAGTCCCACTGTGTTCCGAAATGAGCAATGGTAAGAGGAAAAAGATCATTCTTACCTTCAGTAATGGTACCAACATTCATACTCTGGCTTCCATCTTCAAAGTCCGTTCAAGAACCATTAAGAGATGGTGAATAATTTTTAAAAAGAGGGAACAGTAGAGAAGAAAACTGGATCAGAAGGTCACAGCAGGAAGAGGGTTCCTCATTTCAATTAGGGCTAAAGTGATCAATTAGAAAAGATCCAACTCAATTCATAAGACTTTAGGCACGTGAGAGAGGAGTTTCAGCGATGACAGTCCGAAGAGCAGTGAAAAAATGACTTGAAAATGAAATCGTACGTGAAACACGTGAGACACTTTGTTACTCCAGATCAAAAAAGTTAGAAGAAGATCATCTTGAATAAATTGGAAAATTATCCTGAATAATACATATATATATATATATATATATATATATATATATATATATATATATATATGAACTTTATTTAGATCCTTCATACGTTTTCGATCCTTAGATATGATTAATTAATGATGAACGTGTCATTTTTGTTTATGATCGATTTCATCACGATTCTTCTGTTAAGCTTAGAGAGTAATTATACATTCTTATTGCTCAAACTAAAATCCTATAGCGTTATAAAACCTCGAGGAATTCCAGTAAGATATCTTTAATCACTTCAAAGATACAACGGTTTAAAACTCAACCTAACAAATAGACAATTTTGCTGTTACACGATTTGGACAATTTTGCTTGTCATAATATTAAATTAAAATATCGGCGCGTGACGGAGTGATTAGAACCCTCGCTTTCCGACCATAAAACACACGTTCGAATCTCACCATAACTGATTTGTCAGAAAGGTGATCTTGATGCTATTGACCCAGGAAATCTCAGCGTACCTGAAAAGCATGGCACGGGTTGGGCCAAGCCTTGTGAGTGAAAATGGATAGACAGTACTATTCAGAAGCCGTAAATGATTGTGCTAGCACGAAGTCACAAGTCATCATGACCGAGAGTGTGAGCGGGCTGGCCATGTCCAAACTGTTGATCACACCAGACTTTCTACTCAGAATAGTTGCAGTATAAACCATAAATAGGCTCTTTGAATTTTCAATAAACACTAATGTGTCTGAGCAGGCGTCTACAGCAGGGCTTTAGTAGGATTCATTATTATTATGTATATTTCCAAAAGTTATATCTTGTCTACCTAAATATTAAATAGTGAAGAATTCTCTATCCCATCTAATGTGCGACTTTAATCTGTTTTCTACTGTTTTATGAAAAAATGTAAAAAAAAAGAATTAAGTAAATTTATTCTCTTATATTTTCATATCATCGGAAAGGGAAATCTTTTTTTTCTATGATATTCTATAATTCAAGTGCATCTCTTTGTACGAGCACATGTTGCTTTGCATTTTCTGTCCATGCTCAGAATGCGCATGCTCAAAGCTCATCAAAATCAACTTTGCATTGTTGACACAACACTCGAGAAAATGACTGCATTTTAAGAATTTCCGGCGCTTTTAAATTTGAAACAAACAGATTCAAAGCATTTGCAGAATAAAAATTAAAAATGAAACTTTAAAAATCCATCATATTTATTTAAGGGTAATTTAAAGAATATTAATTTACGAAATTCTATTTTTTTTTTTCTTTTTCAATGATTTCTTATCATTCCAGGAAGTTAAATATTCGTAAATATGGATCAGGCCTCACATCACAATTCCAATGTTTAAAGTGCAGATCGCTAACTAGTAATGTGTATTAAAAACATACTTGATTTTCTCACAGTAAAATTCGAGGAATATTTATTTGAAAGGTAAAAGAAACACTTCTTTTCAAATAATTGCAATAGGTTTTTTAAATTTAAATTATTTCAATATGTCTTGATTTGATATGTATTTCATCGGGGGTCGAAAGCAGGCGAAGCACGTCTATTTTTAGTGTCATTCTTCTTGTTTTATGTGGCATGTGCGTTCAGAACTTGGGCGATGGCTCACCACACTTTCCAAGCTTCGGTGCTCTTTTAGCCCGTTACCAGCGTTAGTTTTTTTTTCTGCAATCCATTCATACAGACATGTTAACTATTACTGTTTCGCCTAGCTTCTCTTACCTTCATCTTGTCCCGTGAGTGTTAAAGTCGCTAGTTCCTCTCTTCTCATTTTGAGTGAGAGAAATTTTACCAGTTTCTTTCTGATTGTAAACAGTTACTTTATTGAATCCAATAAATCTTGTAACGAAAGCATAAAAGAAACCTCCCTCTCTCTCTCTAATCTCTCTCTCGACTCTCTCTTTCTCTTGAATCTCTCTCTTGAATGTCTTTCTTAAATCTCCCTTTCTCTCTCTCTCTCTCTCTCTCTCTCTTGAATCTCTCACTCTTTTGAATCTCTGTCTCGAATTTCTCTCTATTTTGAATATATCTCTCTTGAATGTCTCTCTCTCTCTCTCTTGAATCTCTTTCTCTCTTGAATCTCTATTTCATGAATATCTCTCTCTCTCTCTCATGAATCTCTCTCTTTAATCTCTCTCTTAAATCTATCTCTGTCTCTCTCTGTGTGTCTCTCTCCCTCTCTCTCTCTCTCTCTCTCTCTCTCTCTAATCACTCTCGTTCGACTGTAGGGAAGTAGAAAGTAATGATTGCCATAAAGTCGTTCCGTTATCAAGTCAAAGTTCAGACAGTAGACAAACTAAATGGAGTAAATTAATGCCTTACATTACTGATTCTAATTAAACATTGATGAGCATTTCTTATTATTTGTTTCATTTGATGAGAAATAATAATTTGTGACGTTTAGTTTTGCGCTATGAAGAGCAACTCAGGTTATTGTTCGATGTGAAATATGTTACCTTCCAAATTCGAAGCTAGCTTTAAGCAGTTTTTTCAAGAAAGATTCGATCTAAACAGAAAATACAGAAAATAACGTTTTCTACGTTATACAAATACCACACGCACGCAAAAAGCACACACATCCTGCGTTAAAGTTTACTTTTGAATTATATATATATATATATATATATATATATATATATATATATATATATATATATATATATACTGATTCTCCTGTCGAATTCGACGTATGAGGGTCAAGCAGATCAGTTCCTAGGAAACCGACAGCCGGACACCAGCACATGAGATTTGATTATAGCGGTGAAGGTTTTGTTCAGAACCAACCACACTTTTTGAAGGGCCGAATACAGAGACTTGGGGCACTAAGTGCCACAGGGTCCCCAAACGAGTTGTCCTTCTCCTAGACCAGTTGCCATCCAAGGCTATAGGACACAATCTGTCCTGCTATTTACCCATAGCTGGAGGGAGAAGAAAGAGGATTCATACCTTTCCCAAGGGTATTAGCACGTAAGTGAATGTAATGGATTCGACTGGAATTCGAACTCGGCTCTCCGATTCCTCAATCCAAGCCGCTATCCATTACTCTCCATCCATATATATATATTTAGTTGGACTGATATGAATTTGTGACCCTGGGTTTCACGCTATTTGCGATCATCAGACAAACCGATTACTTTTTAAATTTTGGATTTATATGTGGTTGCGTATATCGGTGTTTTTATGGAAGTGGGAGGAAAGATTGTCGTCGGTAGGTGACTCATACTTACGCAAACATACATACACGCACGTACACTCATTGACGTACGCAGACATACATACACTCATTGAAGCTCACACAAACATGTGAACAGTGTAGGACTGGGCATAGTGCATATGTGCCCAGTTTAACAATCTAACGTGTTTCACTTTTATTACAGAGAATGAGTTATGCAGAAAAAGAAAGAAATTACTTTTGTGTTACTTAATTTTCATTGGTCGATCATATGTCATGTACATTTGACTCTTTTTAAACCAACGTTTATGTAATTTGCGGCGTTCCGAATTCAATGAGAAATGATATTTGTAGAAGGTCATTTCGCTAGGATCACGTCGGGTGTCACCAGTTTTGTAAATGGAACCCAAATCTTTTTGTTGATGAATAAAACAGAAATAGAAGATGAAACATATCTAAAAATTTAAATATATTTATAATTTTAAAATGTTCATTAACAAAGGGATATTTTTTAAAGCATTTCACCCCAAGCAAGGCGGGAGTGCCATTAGTATGCAAGGAACTAGAGAGAGTGAGAGCAAGAGTAAAGAGGGGTGCTTGGGGAAAGGATAAAGAGAAGGATAGGGATCAAGATCAAGGCATAAAAAGATGTTGATTGACATTACATTTGAATATTTGAAGTTTATAGCTATCAAAGAAGCAAGTAAGAGGAAGGGAGCTCCACTGTCGGGAAGTCCGAGATAAGAAGCTGTTGGAGTAGAAGAGGCGGTTACATTTAACTGTTTTGACTGTGAAAGGGTAGAAACAAGATGCAAACCCAGTAGCACGCTTAAATTCATGCAGTTTTGGAACCAGTGAAAGTAGATCGTTAGCGGAGTTGCCATGAAAATATTTATAGAAAAGACAGAGGGAAGCCACAGCACGTCTGTGAGAAATTGACTATAGACGAGATGCCAGATCAGGACTTATCACATTGCATATAGTTGCAAATAACACATGAGAAAATATCGTCAATTTCTTTGATGATTCAAATGTCAAATAGTTTTTTTCTGTGTGTGTTTAAAATGCTCCCTTATTTTCTCTATGGAAATTTTTAATACGTAAAATTATGATGATTGTAGCAGTAACAACCGTAGTTTAGCAATAGATTCAACAGATTCGGTTGAAAATAATGTTATTTCGAACGATGCTGAAATCAAAATGAAAGGGAATAAATTATAAGATTTGTCGAGATAGCACTGAGAATTGAACAATGTCGACAATTATATCCTTGTTATCTCCCCTTGGTTAGCACCATTTTCAACCAAAATCGGATCAAAGAACTTACCACCTACGTCGATACGTGCTTTTATTCTTTCATAGAAACCTCTCAGAACGGTGACAGAACTTATCACGACATTAAAGCTTCTTCGGTGTCATCTATAAGGCCTTTCTATTCACAATATCAAATGCATTTGTTAGATCAGTACAGATACAATCACGCCCACACACAACTAATTTAGTACACACAGAATTATATTATAAACACACATACATAAAGAAACGCATACTCATTTAAAGGAATACCCAAAATACACACCAATTAATTAATGTGCGGTAAAATGAAATCTTAAGTTTATTGTCACGGATTTTATAAATGTATTTACGGATAAGAAATTAATTTTCAAGATATTTCAATGATCTATTTAGTGCAGGTGCGTGTCTAATGGTCGCTTAGTTTAGCAACAAACCCAGAAATTTTGAATTTTTAAGAATTCTTTTACTCAATAAGCTTAAACCGAAATAATTTTATTTTAAGTTTGTCCTTCCTAAAAAAATCAAAATCCTGAGAAAGTGGAAAGAATGTTTTTGTCCTCTGATCTCAAAACGTTAATCCCCCAAATCATTGACGTTTTTCTTCGATCTGTACCACAATATTTGGTGAAAAATTATTACAAGTATATTTTGATGTTGCGATTGTTATGTTGCAGAGAGCCCCGTTGGAAGAACAATACGTCATTTGTCAGTCGCTTTTCCACCAGACGGCGCGATCGTTCTTCTCAAGTGACAAACAACGTACAGTCACCAATGGTGCCCCGACAAATTCGCAAAGCTTTCATGGCGGGAGATGAGGAGATTTCTGAATCTTTGAACAGGTAAGTCCAACTGCAGGTAAAACATCAAATCCATGAGTTTATAGATGATCATAAATTTTTTTTTTTTTTTTTACGAATCTTTCTGCCATTATGTTTATAATGGCCTTTTCTCTTTTTTTTCTTTCTTATTAACTTATTCCGTCTCTATTTCTTTTAACTTTTCTCCTATGTCTCTTTCTTTATTTCAATCACGTTTCTCTCTTTCTTACTTCATTTTCTCATCTTTATTTATTGATTGACTTATTTAGTTTTGGCGCGAAAGAGGTTGAAAAATAAAGATCAAATTATTAGCTTCCCAAACTGATCACGGCTTACGGCCACATCGCGTTAAATTACCGGTTCCCATACAATCAGTCTGCTCAGTACCGGGATGAGTGACCGTTTAGGAATACCAGGCGCTGTAAGCTTGGGTGTGCGGGTGGTGTAATAAATAATGGCTTGAGTTGTTAATCGGGGAGCCAAGTTCCAATTCCCGTTGGGTTCGTTATATTCACTTACGCGCAAATTCCTTTGGGAAAGGTATGGATCCACCCATTCTACCCCAGCTATGGGTTAATTAGTAAGACTTTTATCACTAAAACCATTATTATCGCCATAAAAAAAATTATATACAAAATATTTAGATTTTGGCATTAAATATTCCATAGAGGTTGATATACCGCTAAAATAAACCTGATCCTTGATTAGCTATAGCTTACACATTTCACCAATTAAATATTCTATTACAAGTGGTGCAAATGCTGGCATTCAATGAACTTCATAGTAAACACCAAGTGACCAATAGGTAAACACTAGTGCTCAATTCAAATGAAGTCATTAGGTGGGGGAGACAGCGAATTAGTCTGGTTGACTGTAGACTGTGTGTTCGATCCTATCCTTATAGTTCGATACTTTCATACTTGTTCCCAACAATCAGGGTGGGATAACGCTTAGGGAATTGATTGGGTCACCCTTACTAATGAAGTTGATTCTCACTGAGTGCTCTATACTTATGGCCTTGTACCAAATTAAGTTATGCTTAATAATTCAACGGTTTTAAGAACACTAGAATAATTTAATTAGCTATTAAATTAACAAAGGTTATTTAAATTATTAACAGAAATTAAATAAGAATTATCAAATTAAATAATGGATTTTTAATCTTTACGTTACAAATTTGAATAACACAGTAAAATGTTAATTTTCATTATTTTCTTCTTCTTCTTCTTCTTCTTCACTATTTCCCTTTTCTTCTTTCATTCGTCCTCCCTTTATTATCACTTGCTTCTTTCTTTTTCTTTCTTCCTCGATTTCTTATTGATCTTTTTTCCTTTCTTCTTGTATTCCAGAAATCCATTCAGGTGATTTCGTCGGAGCTGTTCATTTAGGACAGGTTTTTTTTAAAAAAACAAAAAAAAACTGTATTCAGAGAAGACACAAGTTTGAGTTCATGATTGCATAAAGTGGACTTGAACCCAGAAACTACGGATTTCAAGACCAACTGTGCAATACGAACACCTCCTTCACCTTCTCTAACATTTTTAATTTAATTTTTCTTTTCTGCTAATTTTTCTATTGATTATAATTCAATTGATATTTTGCTCTTTCTTCTTTTAGACTTATGCACTTAGAACGCTTCGCCTTAATTTATAGATTCTTATGAAACTTGCTTTTTACGCGTTCATTTCAGACCTATTTTAATTAAATATTTTAATTAAAGAATATTAATATATTTTCTGACAACTTATTTTTACGCTTGCATTCGTATATGACCGCTTACCATTTTTCCAGGGTTTGCAAGAAAATCTAAAATCCATAATTTTAAAGTAAGAAGGCCTGAAAAGAAAAAAACGAATTTGCATTTTTGCCAAAATATTATACGTTAGTGACCACCCTAATCCCCTAGACATCACTTTAATCTTAATCCTAATCCCTAAACCTTAGAGCAGTGTTTCTTTTTTTACTTCAGGGCGGAATGAAGAAAAATCAGTCTTGAAATTAGAAATATGAAATTTTGGTTTAACATTCCCAAAGATTAGCAGTACAGTTTCCATTTAATGGGATTTATGAAAAGTCTGTTATTTGTTTTAGATAGGCCCATAATGACTGATTTAAATCCCTTGAGGAAGGTAAAACGGAAAGGATTATCCATTCCTTCCAAAAGATTAAGGAATTTAGTATCCAGTTAAAAATATCAAATGACAAAGCCTTAATTTATCAAAGGAAACCATGTGCTTGGTGTTTATAGCTTTTTCAAAATTAAGTTCGTTTTTTTTTATACAGTAAGGTTCACCCTGTAAAAAAATCTCGGAGGTCACTCGGGTACAGATTTACATTGAGAGACACTTCATGTGAACAGAAGAAGATAACGATTAACTCTAGACTTGAACCGGTTAAGATTGTAATGATCGGTAAAGCATCCTCTTGGGAGTTGGTTCCACAGAGCAGTGGAAGAAGCTGTTCGGGTGGAACTTACTTCTCACCAATGTAACACGGACGGAATATGGGTGGGTTTGCTTCAATGGAAGTGGAATGGCGGGTCCTAGCCGTGAATCTTAGAACTGGCGAAATCAAAGAATGTAGTTCGTCCGAGCACTTTCCATGTTTTTAGCGATAGAGCCGTGAGAAACTCTCCACATTCCGCCTATGAGAATGAGAGAGGTTGGAATGTGGAAAATAAATTGTTACCCACAAGGACTCGGAGACGCTTTTGAACTCTATTTCGGCCTGGTCTGCCTCTTATGAAGGTAGGGGATAGAATGAGGAACCAGGTATTTATTGGAGCCGTACAGGGAGCCGATCATTTTACCTGCATCTTTTGCGATGGATCGTAGGTATAAGTCCCACTTGAGATCAGGTGTGAGTTCAAAGCCCAATAGCCTTTCAAGGTACGGTGCCTCCTCGAAGGGACTTGCATTCATCAACACTGACTTTTTTAAATACAAACATAATTTAAGAATTACTCTTCTGTTAACTTGTAGTGCATCTGGCTACCTTTTAGGGTGTACCTGGCTACCTTTCAGGACATACCTGGCTACCTTTCAGGGTATACCTGGCTACCTTTCAGGGTATACCTGGCTACCTTTGAAGGTGTACCTGGCTACCTTTCAGGGTGTACCTGGCTACCTTTCAGGGTGTACCTGGCTACCTTTCAGGGTATACCTGGCTACCTTTGAAGGTGTACTTGGCTACCTTTCAGTGTGTACCTGGCTACATTTCAAGGCGTATCTGGCTACCTTTCAGAGCATACCTGGCTACCTTTCAGGGCGTACCTGGTTACTTTTCAAGGCGTATCTAGCTACCTTTCAGGCTTACCTGGCTACCTTTCAAGTCGTATCTGGCTACCTTTCAGGGCGTACCTGGTCACCTTTAAGGGTGTACCTGGCTACATTTCAGGTCGTACCTGGCTACCTTCCAGGGCGTACCGGGTTACCTTTCAGGTAAACTTATATACAAGAGGAATAACCTAAAATAACGGGTCTTATACTGATATTTTGATTTATTTCAAAATCTTGCAAGAATTTCCTCCTTCTTTGCACAATGCTGCAATGTATCTAATAAGGTTACTGATATCTGGTGCCAACTAAATACAAAACTATGCGATTTCAAGCTGCGGTAAGGTTTTTCATGCACTTTCCAACTGTGCCGCACGTTGGTAACGCCGCCCCAGGCAGATAATATCAGACAAATTAACAGAGGTGTGATTCGAACTAACCCAGTTCTCATAGACGGAAAGCCAAACAATTCAACCACATTATACACTCACTGCACACACAACCATATATATATATATATATGCTAAGATAAGTTTTCCTTTTGTCTTTATTCATATATGTATATATATATTATTCAAAAGTAAACTTTATTACAGAATTTTTCTTTAAGTTCTTTAGTATCATTAACAGTTTTACCAGCTAATATAGTTTTAAGGTATACTCTGTTTATAATTAAAACGGTTAAAAAATTCGAAGGTTGAAACAGCTCAATGCCATAGATAGCGAGTATATAAATATAAAACTGGACACTGAAGTTGACATCGATCGGTGACAGTCTGTTTCAAGTTTGAACCCAATCTCCAGATGTGAAGATTGTCGCCACTTTGTGTTGACCTCGGTGTCCACTTTTAAACTTATATATATATTTTCCGTTGGTGTGTATATATATATATATATATATATATATATATATATATATATATATATATATATATATATATACATATATATATATATATATATATACACGTTAAAGTATGAAACAGACTGTTGTTGCTAAGTGCTGACCTCTGTGTATATATATATATATATATATATATATATATATATATATATATAACTAGGAAATGTTCCATAGTTTGCATTGGCCGTTGGGATCATGTTATAAGATAGGTGAAAAGCTGTAAAGTATTCTCCGGGTACCTAATGACCTTAATACTTTTAGTCTCTTTTATCTTGAATATCTTATATGGATCCGTAGTTAATGTTAGTCCTTTCTGAATCACAGATTAACTTTAGTCCTAACAGTAGACACGATCTTTATAGCCAAACAACAACTAGTAGTGATAATAAAAATCAGGACGTGTCTGGTTTTTGTTGCAAGACGTTTTTAATGAACGGGGAAGCCCTTTCAATAATTTGGGGTTGAAATCGAAATTTCCGGATCATTGTGTGACAATCATTAGGTCTTTTTTTGACAGAGACAAACGCGCCGGTATATGTCGATGAGAGAATGACGTTAGACAGTGGCATTTACTTGGTCTTTGTTTCCGATGATTTCAAGCCAGGGTAAGAGTTTAATTAGAAGTAATAACTTGCATTGTTGTACGGCTTGCATCCCAAATCCCTATCGCATAACTTAATTCTCTATTTTACCCGTTTTCAAAAACAAAATCATTTCATATATATATACGAATGTATTTTAAAGAAAATCAGTTTGTCCTCATCTTCGTCGCCATATTTATTACAATGTTTCGGCCCTTCAGTATCTGTCTATATTTCTGAGATGAGGTATTATATACACTACTTACATTGTCATTGTCGCTCCGGCCTTCATCAGGTGCTTAGTATGTCTGAACGGGAGTAGACTGTTCTAGTTCCACGTGTCGTATTTAATGGATGTCAGTTATCAGTTCTCTCCTGCTAATTCACCACTGCCTTCACCGGGTATTGAACTCACACTGTTTGGGCCCTGTCCCTGGATCAAACTAACGCCTTTATCCACTGTGCCATGTGTCCTTGAGGACATCTGTCTGTGCGTAAATTTCTGGGTATTATAAACCTAATGTCATCAACATTCATTTTTACCAGTGCTCATATTGCAATTTTTGCTGTTATCATTGTATGTTTTTACCATATATATATATATATATATATATATATATATATATATATATATATATATATATATATATATATATATATATATATATATAATGAATGTATCTTAAAGAAAATCAGTTGTCAGGAAATCATTTTATTTACACTTCAGATCATTTCCTTACTTACAAACAGCGCATGATTTCGTTTTGAAATATTTTTCAACTTTTTTCGCAAGTGGATATAAAATGCATACTCATTTCAATGGATGCTGCGGTTTTTCTGGATGTAAACTTGTTTTTATCTCAAATTATAAACTTTTTTTTTCACATTGAAACGGCAAAACCTTGCAGAATATTTATTTAAAACAAAATCTAAAACAAGCCAAGAAACTGATCAATATCTAGGTCTTGCAAGCTATTGACAGTGATGTCATATCTTCCTGAATTTCATTACAAAATCTGTATCTGTTCGACGAGTTTCATTGTAATCTCATATTAAATATTAGAGTCTTTTTTGCTTTTACGAGAATTCCTATATATTGTATTTCGAGTTCACATAAAAATCGAACAATTCCAGCAACTGTTTTTAGATTTTTTTTTATATCCACTGTTAGCTTCCAGACATATGTGCGTGGATGCTGTGATTTTTCTGTTTCGTTTTTGCATGATCATTTATTTCTTTTTTGAAGGAAGGTGCTTTTATGCCTCCTTTTTTTCTGTTTCTTGAACACAGACAAAATGATGAAAGTCAGCTAAACAATCTGAATATCTTTGTCCAATTGCTGTCTTTGATTTTTATTTCGAATTTGAAAGCAAAAAAAAAAACAATCATGTAAGCTAATGTGACGTTTACTTTCTCTGGGTAAGTTGTTCAGGAACACATTAATATAGTTTGTGGACATTTATCCAAACTTTTGATGGTCGTTTTGAAGTATGTGTAATATTTTAATGACGCTAGGCAAATATTGGCGTTGCTATGAGCTTTCAGTCATGCAACAGCCATCTCTTGATAATATGTTCTGTTTGGAAATGTCGGCACATAAAAGAGATCAACAAAAAAAAGAGGGAAAAATGTTGGCCAAGGCAACGCAAATAACTAATTTGATGCGCAGATCACAAGGCATTAACAATAGTTATCTTCTAAAATGGGACCACAAAGACTGTATCCGTTTTCAATCTAGTAACGTGTCTGTATTTTTAAAAACAAATTTTTCAGGAGTGAATAGCTGAACGATGAAATAATGACCTTGGCTTGATTTGGTTCATGGACGCCTGGCGGTGTTAGAATTTTATCGTCCCGACCATGAGATCTAAGTTCGAATCTCACCATGGTCGATTTGTCAAGGAGGCAATCACAAGATGTCTGAAAACCATACCCCACGGGTTAAACGAAGCCTAGTGGTTGAAATTGAGTAGATGAAACTGTTCAGAAAACATCAATCGTGTACTGGACATGTTCTAACTATTGGTCAAGCCAGATTATGAGCTCTCTCCCAGAAACTGTAAATATTTTTTAAAATTTTGTAAATATTTGCACACCTTTCTAAATTCAAATTTCAGTACGTTAAAACAATCCAGAATGTACCCGTCAAAGTCTATCACACTGACAATACCCGGTTTTGATAATGATTACTTCAACACAAACACAAAACATGATCTTTGAAAAGTTTATCCGCCATTTTGATCGCGATGTGAAACATTTTATTCAAAAAGCTTACAAATTTTGTCGGTTTTATTTAACAAAAATTGTTATTTAGATGTATTCTTGCTGTCTAAGTTTAATACACACACATACACACACACACACACACACACACACATATATATATATATATATATTGAAGCGTATCTTAACGTAAACAATGACATCATATATTATGAAATGGATTAAGTTCGATAATAATTTTAATATATTTTTTGTTTATACGTTATTTTTATAGATACACATATTTCATTAAATGCTTTGTTTATAATAAACACTGTTAACAACATTTACCGGCCTGGATGTCAAAGAAATTTCATAGGAAATATGTGTCCTCCAACAGGAATTGAACCTGTATCTTACACTGACGTGCTATGACATTTAGCTACAGAGGAAATAATTGGCGGACGTAATCCGTTTCATAATATATGGCATCACTTGTTTCCGTTAAGATACGCTTCGAGCAGAGATGAGCGTTCAAGAGAAATCATGGGAAATTTGTAGTTTAAAGGCAATAATTCGACCTTGCTAACCCGACGCTTCATCTGTAGCTAAATGGTATAGCACATCGGGCTATATGACGGTTCCGTGAAGAATTGCTATCGGAGTACTGATATTTTCTATGAAATTTCTCGTACATTCAGAACGGTAAATGTTGTTTGTACTCATATTTCTATGACCATTTCAAAGCAGAAAAATAAAATTGACAAAATGAAGCCGTAAAACACGACCTCTTTCGAACATTTCTTGATAAATATTCCGGAAAAAAGTCATTGAAAAATTTCCTATTTCTTCATTTAAACAGGTCTTTGTAAGGTTGATAAAAAAAAAGGCCAGTAACTTATACCGCTTATAATTTTACTTACAAATAGGATTTCTAAATTATTATTCTGCTTTCAGAAGTCAACTGAGTCTGTCCGTTGGGGATCAAGATCATGTATCGGTTCGAAAAGAAAGTTCGATATCTTCAGTTTACACCAAAGAATCCGAAGGTCAGAGATGATTTTTTTTTATTTTTAAATTATTGCTAATATTTCTCTTGTTTTGAATAGATATTCGAATACTTACGACTGATTGTTGCGTTCCCTGTATTGACACATGCGTATAGGTACTTTGGTCTGAAACATTATGATGGTCCACAATGAGGTATTTGACAGTTTGTCAGAGAAACGGAATTAGTTATTTGGTTCGAATTATCAGATATTCTCAACAAATAATTACATATATATATATATATATATATATATATATATATATATATATATATATATGTAATTATTATTATAATTATTATTCGATTTTTAATACTATCTCTTCAGCTTGTTCGATTCTGTATCCCACACATTTTTTTATAACTTCTATCTTTCTTTCGCCATTACTTTTTTTCTTTTCTTTACTCTTCAAGATTTCATTATCCATTTTCCTCTTTCTCTTCTTACTTTTCTCCCTTTTTAATCTTTCTTCCTCTCTATATATACCTTGATAGGAATAAAATAGATAGATAGATAGATAGATAGATAGATAGATAGATATCTTCTATGATTCCATCGCGACACAGAAATTACTATGTTTCGAAACTGGTCAGCAGTATTGAGGTTTAATTTCAATATTAAACCCTCACTACTGAGTGGCAGTCTCATCCTCAAGCGACGTTTGGTTCTAAAAAATAATTATTATCTAGGCTCTACTTCTGTATCGAACACTGTTTTAAAAAATAAAAACAGAAATACTAAAGAAAAAAAACAGTTCTTTCCTATTATATCAATATATATACACACACTAACACACACACAAACACACACATATATATGTAGGAATGGGTAGGATAAAAATCTACATACACGCGCAAATACTAGCAAATAAATAAATATTTTTATTCTTCAGTTGTTATAAATACAGTGCTCAATGTTATGAGACAGAGCTATAAGTATATATTAGTGAATATACATAATATCCAATGTCGATAGCACGCCTCGGACTCTCATGTAATGCAACCAAGAATAAAATAATTAAGCCGTTGCAAAAACTTAAAAAAATAAAATGTGTTCAATGTTTGAAAAAAACATATGCGTCTACGAACTTATTAATTAAAACAGAATGCCAATTTACTATCTATCACATAATTAAAAGATGGTCGATAATCAGCTGTTGAAAGTGGAGGTGCTAAATCTGATATTAAGTTTTAAAGATTCCAGAGTCTATGTTTTTATCTGATTCATAAATTACATTTTTAGGAAATTATCCCAATGGATTTGAATCTTTTTTTACTTGTATTTATTCCCAAGAATTAAACTAAAAGACTTAATCCGTATATAAGTCTTATATAAAAGTGTGTATGGCAAATGTTCAGCACCTTGTCAATTTTTATTCATATGATCTTAATAGAAATAATGGTAACCCATAAAATATATTTCACAAAAAAATGGACTATAAAAAAACTTCATGAACCGAAATAAATTATTTGAAAATGACTTGCGAAACACTCTCTTATGGAAAAACACGATGACACTGAGCATCCTTTCAGGACCACCCAGCTTCCTAACGACGACCCAAAGAGCATCTTTTGAAACGGTATCAAAAACGTTAGTCAGATCAACGAAAGTAATAAAGAAATCCTTGTCATGTTCTCATGCTTTCTCATGTAGTTCTCTCAAACTGAAAATTATGTCAACAGTTCTTCTATCAGACCGAAAGCCGCACTGAGATTCAGAAAAGCTAGAATCGACCAGAGTTTTGTATTTTCAAGATGATCCTTCCAAGAATTTTCCAGCAACCAACAGAAGGGAAATAACTCTGGGGTTGTCTCATTCGCAGATATTAGCTTTGTGCTTATGGACAAGTGAAGTGTCATTAAACACCTGAGGAATTGATCCTGAATCCCAGATTAAAAAAAAAAAGAGATCCCAAAATTTATGAACCAGAAGATTACTGCTACATTTTTATATCTCTGCTGCTATGACATCGTTACTAGAGGACTTCCCGTTTAGCAGTTGTTTTATGGCCCTTTTTATCTCAGCAATATCTGGAGTAGATGATAACCTTTATTGTGACGTACGGTGGTCTTTAACACTTAAGTATAACTCATGACTTCAATGTTAAGATGAAACAGTATTTAATTACAAACACTAATAAATACTTAAGAGCAAAGAAGTAAAAGTCAACCAAAGATAATTAACCATTTCAGTGAATATCTTGTTAGTAGCGCGGCTCGACTTAACGTCCGGTAAATCCTAAATCAAGTCATCGATGCACAATAATTCACACTAATTCAACTGGATAATTCCACACAATAATCACCGCAGTCAGTAGTCTGACACCGCTATTTATACATCTGGCGGAAAACATATACTCCAGAGTTTCACGTTCGAACCTCGGTATCGGTGCTTTCTCATTTTCTTCCTATATAACACTATTCATGAACAGACCTCCGTTGATAAGATTCTCGTCAACATTCGAATACATTTTTAGAACTTTTGGAAAGTCTTCTGCCCAGCGTTTAATGATCTCATTTTTTTTGTCCATTAGAAGGCTTCTATTGGAAGAAAAAAATGTGGGTAGAGGTATGCGACACAGGTCCAAAGTTATAAAAGTGGTCTTCGTTATTGTTACAGCTCTGTTTTTGTTATTTTCGGAAGCATTGAGTTTATGTGGAAGTTTATGTCTTTCTCTTTATTCTTGGTTTTTCTTTTCTTTTTTTCAACATTCGTAGTATTGATAGATTTGTGCTCCATCGATGAGTTTGGATCATTCTTTAACACACACATATATATATATATATATTATGAAATGGACAAAGTCCGACAATTATTTTAAAACATTCTTATGTTCATACGTACTTTTTATGGATATAAATATTTAAGTAAATGCTCTGTTTATAATAAGAAGTATTAAATAACATTTACCGGCCTGAATGTCCGGGAAATTTTCATAGAAAATATTCGTCCTCCGACAGGATTCGAACCTGTATCCTATACGGAATCGTCATATAGCCTGACGTGCCTTTTAACCAATTCGGCCACAGAGGAGCGTTCGGTTAGCAAGGTCGAATTTACTGCTTTTAAACTTCAATTATCCATCAATCTCTCACGTACTTCATATTCATAGGCATGAGTTTTTAATTTTCCTTCCACATACAACTAAAACAACTTCACGAGATATTACTTACCAAATATCAGGCAAAATGGCGAACATAAACTAGAGTTATAACAGAAAATAACAGCTATCGAATACTTATGCGTGTCACTGTATATATATATATATATATATATATATATATATATATATATATATATATATATATATATATAATAACGTAAATACATTAAGACTGTGAGGACACCATATGTACTGGAACCATACCAAAATAGTTCATCCTTACTCAGACTACTTTTGAGTTCAGAGTTTCTCAAGGCGAGAAAACCCAGTATTTGTGCACTATATATATATATATATATATATATATATATATATATATATATATATATATATATATATATATATATATATATATATATATTACACACACGCACATATATATATATATATAAGCATGAAGATTGCCATAATAAAACTGTGCACACTGAGTGCTGGTAATAAAACCATTGATATGGAGAGAAAGAAAATCCTGGAGCAATAAAAGTATCTTGTTAGTGTGCCAAATAATTTTATTAATAATTCAACACCTGGCCACCTTGTCTCTCGTCTGTTCTCCATCGTGATAACGTCGAAGCTATCTAATGAAAACATTACTGGAGACCGTTCTGTAATAAAATAAATACGGATGCGCTAAAGTCTAATAAAAAATAAATATGTAATACTGTCAACTGATTATCATCATCCAGCTCTTTATCTCTCATCATCATTATGATAATATATATATATATATATATATATATATATATATATATATATATATATATATATGGAGAGAGAGAGAGACAGAGAGAGATAGAGAGAGAAGACAGAGATAGAGAAACATAGAGAAATCGAGTGTGAAGTCAGTAATAAAGAGTACAACGTAACTACCAGTTTTATTCTTTAAGTAATCATTACATTATATATTACTCTTCATTGCACATGCTAATCTCTCTCTGTATATAAAGGGCACTGAGAGTTTATGTCAAAAGGAAAACAGATTTTCTATTGTTGTTTTTGTTTGTTTTTAGATTATTTATAATACTGATTCTGAGTGTTTGGGGTTGTTTTGTTTTGTTTTTTGTTTTTATTTTTGTTTTGTTTTTTTTTTCTTTTTTTATTCGTTTTCATTCTATTGTATATTCTTTATTTTTCAATTTTTTCTTGTTTTTTGTATATTTTGTCCGGTTCTAAAGTCTGGCATTAGCTTTAAAGGAAAGTTTATTAGCTTTAGATTATGGGTAATTAATTTTTTAGTCTAGTTGGAGTCGAGATGTGATTGTCGCTGGCATGTTTCTATTGGTAAATAAGGTCAGCATACACACTCACGGACCCCCCTATATATATATATATATATATATATATATATATATATATATATATATATATATATAATACATAAAAGATTAATGGTGAGGGTAGAATCAAACCAGGAAACAGTAGTATTAAAAAGTGCTCAATACACGTAAGTAAAAATAACAAGTAGTGCTAGAACTTTAAAAAATCAAGAGGTCAGTTGAATCTTAAACGCTTTATTTTTTTAAAAGTAACGACCACTATATTATTTTTTAAATAAATTATTTTTTTTATAAAAAATAATATAGCATTATTTTTTTACAAAACAAAGAGGTCATTTGATAAAATCGCCTGAGGTTACAATAAAGTTGAAACCACAGTTGCGGATTCAACTGATCTCCAATTTTAAAGTATATATATATATATATATATATATATATATATATATATATATATATATATATATATATATATATATATATATATATATATATATATGTGTGTGCGTGCGTGCGCACGTGTGTGTGTGTATACCTTTTATATGTTATAAAATGCACATGGAGGTGTATGCTAATACTTAGAGAGAGTGTGCGTGAGTTCATTAAGAGCGGGGGTAAGGAAGAGAATACAGTGAATACATAAAATAGAGAGACAAGTAAACAAGGTAGTGGGGGGGGGGTACTAATCCTATCGCAATTATTTAACCTAAACGAGACGATTCTAATAGAACTAAAAACAAAAACAAAAAAAAACAAGATACATGGGGGATACGATACTTGATGAGAAACTTGGCAAATGATTGAAGAACCCAAAGACAAGGTAGTAAAAGAAAGGCAAAAAGAAAGGACTATTGTCTGTAAGTTAAGTAAATGCATCGTTACTAGCAACTGATAGCGCCCAAAGTGCGTCCTATATCCCGGGGTTTCAAAATGAAGCCAATGCAAGAAATTAACAGTCCGGGTGGCGTCGTAACAGACGATGCGAAATGTGACACTGAAATTCGAAGATGTGAAGGAAAAGCAAAATATTTCTTTCAGAAATTAACAAATTATT